AAAAAAAAAAAAAGATGCATGTTATAGTGTTTTAGTTTAATCTTGGTGTTTAAAATAGCTAATCTAAGATGGCATTACACTTGGTAAAGGTAGAGCTTAAAGGGGAATTCTACCAATTTTATCATTTACAGGATTACTATTGCATATGTGAAAATAAGGTCTTATAAAGCATTTTGTAGCTCCAGAGGCAGGTGCGTAAAGCCTGATAAATTGCCTCAAGTGATGTCACTTGGGTCTCATAACGAGTTAGAAAGAAGTGACTTTACCAGATCTGTGTAGCCTGCTCCTCATCTCTGCTTGAGGCTAGTGGCTTGAGTCTAAGTTAGCCACTATGAGCATAACACACCTGAATTCCCTACCCAAGAGTTGGTGGACATGTTGCACTGTGGGTAATATACAGTAGGCACCATATATTGGCAAGGAAAAAAAGAATATACAATAAAAAAAGACGATATATCTGGTTCTTTTGGCAACTCTCTAATGTGAGGTATCGACAATGTTATAGTGCAGTGCTAACAACACCTGGGGATACTGAGGTAGCATCCAATTTTACTGGGGACATAGCTGGCACAGGATAGTGTCAGGGCACAGGTAATACTGGTAAAGTAATTAGTTGTTAGGTCTAGATGTAATTTGTTGTTAGGCATGTAATTACCACTGTACTGTAACTGTACCAGCTTCTAGCAGGCCCCACATATACTGAATTTCTTCAGTTGTCAACAACAACAAAACCTGCAACCCTGATTAGCTTGACTCATTTCACATAGTCACTCTCCTCCTTCCTGCACGGCATCAGTCCTAGTCTTGTGTTTCCGGCCATGTACTTAGTTTGACATTGGTTTCAGTTAATTTAGGTCAAGAAGTAGGCACAGGCAAAAACAAAAACAAAATACCTCAGGGATGAGGTTTGTCATTCATTTTCTATCACAGTCTCAAACAAAAGAGTGTCTCGCTATCAGCAGCACAACCACTCACCTCTCTTTTTCCTCTACTCTCTTAGGCGTCTGCGCCCTGACAGGCTCATATTAGGTAAGACTCGCTTTTTTGACATTTGACAACCATTCAACAGAACAAATGACAACCTGTGACGGTGATAATAGGATGTTCCAGAGTAAGGGTGGCTCCAGATGCTGACTGAGGAAAATGCTGACAGTTATGTGCTTGAGAACATTGTTGGAGCACAATCACACACACTTACGGTACGCTGCTCTTGGGCACCCCATGCTGGTGTGCAACTGACCCATACTAAAACCCTTGGCAACAGAGGTTATATGATAGGAATGACTAATAACACACATTGCAGCCAGGGTATTCTTAACAGTGCTTGCTTTGCTAAAAAATGACTCTGTCTCGTATTATTCCTATAGGATTCAAACAATACATTAAATGTTCTGACAACTATTACTTTCCAAACAAGATGTTACAGTCACAGTTTAATGTCATGTCGTGGCTTTGCAGTGAAATCACTTCTCATAACAAATGGACAGGGAAAAGTCAGACAACTTGCTGACCTCAGACAAGTTATGTGAGTGGGGAAGATCCAGTGCACAATCCTCTACTATGACAGTACCAAATATATCCAACGCGTGCTCCAAAGCAAGGACTGTGGACGATCTCCCAGCTTTCTGCATACACTTAGTTCTAATTAACACTGAATCCATTTACTGAACAGGTGACAGTTACTTTGTAAGTCTCATACATACTGCAGTGAGCACTTTGTTTAATCTACCATGTATCTACACTCTCTTGAGGTTTCACAGATTATAACAGCAGACACTTCCCTGGGTGTGGCTGGCTGCACCATGCACGCAATGGGAACAACACTGCTCAGGAGTCCCTGTTTTTGTTGAAACTGCATCTTCAGCATTGTATCAACACAACTGACCATATACCAAGGACAAAGAAACAAAACCAATTGCGGTAGAGGGTAAATACTTGCATGCCTGCAGTGTCAGTGATCTCAAAAAGCTTGGAAGACTCAGAGCCATGACTTTCCAGGCAGGATTTGTTGTTGTGGTTCCATGGGGAGAGTTGAAAGGATAGAATGGTTTCATCTGGGTCAGGTCAGTTGAGCAGTTTGAGCCCAAGAGTACATTAGAAAGAGCTGAAATAACGCTCTTAGACAGAGCAAGGAGCGGACTTGAGTGCCATGGCAGCCCTGTAGTGCTTTTAACATGCCCTGTGGATTCTTTGGGTTCATTAAGCGGTTTGGGGTTTGTGTGACAAGCCTTTCCACAACCTGCTGTGACATGGGGAAAATGCCCTTCACCGAAAAAAAGTGTTACAGGTAATGCCAGTAGGAGACCCTGAAGGACACTATCTCTGGAAGCCATTTACAGAGTGAAAAGGTAGTTGGGTGAAGAGGGAAAGCAGAGTTTATACACAGTATTACATGTCTATGCAACTATTTTATTTAACAAAGGTAAAATAAAAACTTAAATTACCTGCTATTTTTAAAAGTTATACTTCTGCTTCTGCTCACAGAGTTTTTTAATGGTGGATATTCTACTTTGGAACAAAACTCTGCAATCTTAGGGAAAAAATAAAAAAAATCCCAGGCTGTTGCTTCTCAGGGCCTGTGTGTTCCAGTGATCAGAGAGAATGTGATTTAAGGTGATGATATGCAGAGGCGCCATCCTCGTCTGGCAGACGGCTGCAGCAGTGGTATGAAAGTGCTCCCTTCGGCAGAGAGCACGTGTTGCCTAGCTGCTTCCAACTTACAATTCACCAGAGATAGACTAGGTCCGCTGGCACTTACGCCAGAACCTCGCTGCCTTAGATATTTATACTCTGTTCAATATCCGGCTGAAATATGGTGAGATTCAATGAATATTCTTGAAGTTTTAAAAAGGCTGTAAAGGATTTGTAAGTATATGTGAGCTTGCTCCCATAGAGCGTTTGTTATTTGTGTTCAGTTTGAGAAAAGTTTTTGGCCTCACAGGAAATGAAAAATCTACATAATTGAAAAACCCACCATTGGAATAAGTAAAATTAGCAACTGCCACATTTTATGGCAAATAAAAAAAAATGCACTGTCCAGTTTTAAACAAATATTCCAGCCACTCTAAGTTTGAAATAGGAGCTAATAAATGAATGTTTTTCATTATCAGCTTAATTAACTACCTGGGTAATGTTATGTATTAAGGCAAACCTGTGGGTCTCTGGACTCCTTGTTGTTTGGGATCAGTCAGGTGGATTCAGACTAGGCAGGATAACTGTAGCCTGCTGCGACTTTAACATTTTACAAGGCAGTGTCCATAATTGTTTGTTCGAAGATAATGTCCGGTACTTGCTTCCTAACTAACACAGTGTTGTATTTGTTTTATAATCCATCTGTACTTTCACATAGACACACAATACACCCGCACACACACTACACTGCCAACTGTAAGACCATGGTGAAGTTACTAATTTGAGTGAATTCTTTTTAAAGCTTTTGCAACTTCATTCCGAGTGAACATAGCTGTCCCTTGTTGTGTTTACTATTTTCTTTTGGTGATCGAACTATCAGGGCATGAAAGCTGTCTACTGGAAACTGGTGCTCCACTGACAGGGCCTGAGCAAAAACACTACATAGGGGATGGGCCAATTCCATTTAAAACACATTGGTTGCTAGTATTCAGCTATGATTGCGGTGTAGTACAAAATATTTTACGCATGATGAACAGTAAAGATTCAGGGCTTTGCTGAAAACATTCAGGGCTTAAGCCCCGTAAGCCCAGCCACGGGGCCGCCCATGCCTGAAATCAATATGTTCATTTTCACCCTGTTTCCTCCGGAAGTATAGCAAATTGGTAGCCGGGTAGCCAGATGCTGGAGTCAAATATATGACTACTGGACAAGTGAAGTCACAACTCATCATTTTACACTTCTCTGGAAGAGACAGGTCATCCTGTGGTCCTGACACAAACATGAATCCTCCTAACCCAAATAAAGCCATCCCAAAGCACATCACCTAGTCTGCAGACAGGTGCTCTGAAACAGATACCAATGCGCCACTGAGGCCGTTTATTTTCCTCACCAACAAAAGAGGCCAAAGAAAAATATCTGAAGTTAAAAGGAGACAAGCCTGTGCAACAACAAAAAAGAAAAGATAAAACAGCATGAAAACATTGTACTTCACAGATAACAGCGCAGTTTATTAATTAACGCAGTCTGCATTTCTAAATATTACCCTGAGCTGTCTGTCCAAGTATTTGCAGATAATTGGCATACAGAGAGTAAAATGTACAGCCTATGGTTTACCCATCCTACATATCTTCACGTTTGGCCTTGCTTTTTGTCCACACCCTGATACTGGAGCACTCAGCCAGGGGATTGGCTGCCCACACGGTGCGTTGCT